GGCGAGCGTGTTGTTGCGCGGCGTGACGGAGCGCGCCACGCGGCGCGGCCGGCCCGCCGCGTCCCGCGCCAGCAGCTGCAGCGCGCCGCCCATGTCGGCCGCCCAGCCGCGCCACTCCGCCGCCCCGCCCTGCGCACGGCCGCGCTATATACACGACAGTATTCCATTGCGTCGAGCGTGCGCCAGGTAATAATACCGTGTAATACAGTCCCATTACATACATTACAGAGCACATTCTTTAATAATTGTAATCATTAACCATTTAACTATAACATTGTTAGGTATTTTGTTGTCTATTAAGTTTTTGCTCACCGCGGCGTGGTCTCCGGAGCCATTCTCTAAGGGCCGGTGGTCGACTGTAGCGGGGCGGGGCGGGGCCCAGGGCGCCAGGTATAGGATAAAGGCGACGCGTCGGTCGGCCAGCAGGTCGTCGTGCACCAGGAGATGGTCCCCGGGCCCGTACAGCGAGCAAGACGCCGACACAGACTCCAGCCGCAGCCCCGTCGCCGCCGCCACCTGCACCGCACTCCATCATCACTTGCTGTACTACTCGCTTTATACTTTTACTTACTGACTTATTTTGTACTTACCCAGCTCATAACCTCAGTCTTCAGCAGCTCATAAATGCCTCTAATACTCCTCTGCCAAGTGAGGCTGGCCAGGTCGGCAGTCTGATGGAACTCATACAGATCCATCTTTTTCCGTGACCAGTCCAATGTGTTCATGTCATCCACAATGTTGTTAATCATCTCCGGATTGGCCAGAAAGTCATGCAGCAGACACAATCTGAATGGTTCACAAGTCAGTTTCACCTCGGGAGTGTCTAAATCTTTTAGTTCTTTCCAATGTGTTTGTAGTCTGTCCAGTAGTTCTTGTGACTAGGGAAACAGAAATATTTTGTTAATGGTATGTTATTTAATACTTAAAATATTATGACAGGAATGTTACGAGATTACCTTAATCTTGGGGTTGAACAATGGGTTATCCATTCTGTTGGCCCGGGGGTTGAGCTGTGCTTTGACTGGTTTTGCATGCTTTTTGTAATCTACTACTATCGAGTCATCCTCCCAAGAGGTTTCTGAGTCAGAACTATATTCTGATGATGATGAGGATGAAGAATAGTCTTCTGAAAAATGGAGATAGATAATAATTTAGGTATATATGTTTTATCCCAGAACATGTTTTGTTATATCTATTACATATGAGTAAGCAATCTCATCATTAACCACAAGTCTACTCACTGCATAGGACAGAAATAGATAGTACAGCAGGTACTAGTTCAAGGAGCACTTGTTTGTGTCAAACACCAACATATATAGCTGGATCTTATGCTTTATAATATGTACATAACACAGTATTTGCATACCAAACAGACAGGAAGGGGAATAGCCAACTATAAACAATACACTTGTTATTTGTAAGGAGATTTTCTAGTCAAGATTCAATTTTCCCGCGCAAAATATTTTCATAAAAAGTACGACCACTTGCCTCCTCGGATTCTCTTGACTTCATCAGCAGAAGCCTGGTAAGAGTTCACGGCACACACGTCCGAATCATCACTATCCGTGTCCGAAATCTCAATAACTGTGCTGGAGATCCTGCGCTTGGCGGGCGGCCGGGCGACCGCTGCATCCCCACTTGCGACAGGGTCTGTCTCCATTGCTGTAGTGCTAGACGACGGTTCCTCATTGTCTCTACTAGGGGAACTCATATTGCACCACCAGCACTACATAATACGTAAAAGCAAACCAAAACTAACTCAATGATGCGACGCCTAACCTAAAATTTTGTTGACGTCTAAATCATCACAATGACCATAACGAAAAATAAAATTTTAATGCCGGCAACACAATAAATACGTTGTAGTCTTTGGTTATTTGTAATTTAATGTTTTTTCAATAATCATAATGTAAATTCCTATGTATCTCGTATTTTAGTTTAACCATAGTTTTCAGTAGTATGGTTTAGTATAAATAAAATTTTAATGGTCACTTTCTCGTCAAAATAAAATCAAAGGGTAGATAGGTAAAAATATGAAAATAGGTTTCCAACACTTTTATATATCTATGGTTTCCACCTATAATACATCTATGGTTTCCAAGACCAAGTACCTATCCATGACAGTGACAAATTCTTTGACACGTCTTGTAATCTTGTTCTGTCATCAAAGAGTATATAAGTATAGGGGATTCTGTCATCATACTTGATCATACATCATACAAATAGCCAAAAACCAAAAATGATCCAACTCAATTCAGCTGTCATAAATCTCATTTGAAATTCTGAACCGACTCAGCCTGACTGCTCAAAGAGCAAAGATTAAAAGTAATAGGGGAAGAGCAAAGAGTCTAATAAGTGGGTATCTGGGCTCATCTGCAAAGAGTATAATAAGTGTAAGGGAACTCATCTTTTGCCTTGCTCGTGGGATTCGTGTGTAGTGTGTGTAATTTTTTGGTTTTTTTATTTGATCAAATCCACATAAAGTTATCCAGGGATAAAAATGCTGTCCACGTCTTTTGTCATCTTATTATTGTAGTGTGCTTATGTAGGTGAAACACTACAATAATCTTCTCACAAAAAAGTTGAATTCGACCACTAAACATTTTCACTAAGATACAATTTAAGTATGGAGTACATTACGCAAGGCCAATGTCAATATTTTGTGGTGAGGAAGAAGAGACTCTGCCGTATGACTGTGCGGCCAGGCCGGCAGTACTGCGGGGAGCACGAACCTCAACCACCTGAGTCCGAATGTCAGGTACTATGCAGGAACCTCTCTTTACTTTTGAATAAGAATTACTTGTTTGTCTAAGTTATTTTAGTATTAGTTTATTATTTAGTTCGTATATATATATTTTAGGATGATAGGCGAATACCATGCCCGAATGATCCCAAACAGTAAGTATCTGGACAATGAATAGCAGGGCAAATTGAAGCTGAGGTGCATTGTGACTTGTGACACAATTGTAACAAAATGTGAACACCACTGTGTTTCAGCACAGTGTATGTCAGTAAACTGGAGAAGCACCTTTCTATCTGCAATGCTCGCGCTAGGGACCAGCCTCCTTATATTGTGCCAAACATCAATGCACCCAATGAAGGAGAATTGTGTGTCCGCTTGCCACTTGCACAGCTACCTCGGGAGACAATCATGCAAGTCATTGACAAAATTAACTATTTGTATGACAGTAAGCACTCAATTGTTTTGAAATTTGATAGCCCATTGCTGTTTTTATTAATAACACCATGAATAAAAAGTACATTGTCATATACATCCAAACAACATAACATCACACTTTTATCCCTGTAACACTCACTTTTCACTATTTATGTTATGAGTCCCATTTACGGGTACGCCTATTGCCATATACCGGGCACAATTCCAGACTCTGTGCTACTACTGAGTATTTTTTAAAACCCAGTAATACTTTGCCCAACTCAGGAATCTAACCCGAGACCCCTTGCCCAGCAGTCGCACTTGCGACCACTCGGCCAACGAGGCATACATCCAAATCTTCAATAATTAACTATAAACTATATTTTGAACTAACAAACCTAAAATTGAATATGGTGTAGTTGATTCAACTAACATTTGCTTATGACATCTGTTTGAAATTTGGAAGCTGAGTCGTGGTGTATAGAATGATTTATTCTTTTGTAGAGCATGTGGAGGGTAACATCACAACATTCCCTGAACATCCAATCCACAACACTATAGTTAAAGAGTTCTCGGAGAGTGACCGCACAGAGAGCTCACGCAGACATCTGCGGCAGGTGTCCGCACTGCTGCATCTGGCGGAAGAGGAGGGTCTCGTCGGCGCGGGTACATGCTATGTCGAACTGGGAGCCGGGAAAGGTGACAATGTCAGCTAACTGCTAGTTGAATGATAATGATACCACAGCCTGACAGAACACCGACGTAAAACAACGCTTGCGTTGTATTTTGTCGTGTGAGTAAGGTTATCTAGTACATTCCCTCCCCCTTCCCCAATCTCCCCAATCCCTAAATCCCCAAATCCCCAAACTCCCCAATCCCTAAATCCCCAATCACCCCAATCCCTAAATCCTCAAACTCCCCAATCCCCCAATCCCTGAATCCCTAACATTTCCCAACTTTCCATCTAAATTCCTAATCCTCAAAAGGCCGGCAACGCACTTGTAATGCCTCTGGTGTTCCAGATGTCTATGGGCGACGCCGATTGATTACCATCAGGTGATCCATCTGCTCGTTTACCGACATATCCCATAAAAAATATACGTGCAGGTCACATGTCGTACTACGCGTGGCAGGCGTGGGGCGCGCAGGGCGGCGCGGTGGTGTTGTTGGACCGCGCGGCGCTGCGACACAAGCGCGACAACAAGCTGCGCGCCGCGCGCCGCCTGCGGGCCGACCTGCGCCACCTGCACCTGCCACGCGTAGTACG